TTCGGGACGCCCGCTCCGGCCCGTATTGTGGTTGGGGGACGTATTTTGACTTGAAATGTTTGCTTAACCTTGTCTTCTGTTATACCTTTCCTCCCTGTATAGTTTTGGGGTGGCGGAGGGTGGCGGGATGTGTGTTTATTATGTAGGGCGGGTGGTTGATAGGGTTGACCCTGCTTTTACAATTAGCTTATGTACCACACTGTATTTACATTTGATATTACGCACAGGGGATGGGATTCGGTGGGAGCCTGTGGGTTCAGCTATGGGGGGGAGGTCTTGGGGTCACGGGGCTATGTTTATGCTAAGGCGTTCTTTTATGTATATTTTCCATACTCTCGGGCTCTTTCTGCCTCCTGGGCACATTTTATGTTATTTATTGTGGGTTAAGGGATCAGTGGGGCGTGTGTTCTTGGGGGGAGCGGGTGATTTTGATTTTGGGTTCATTCTTTAACTGCGCATATTGTTTTGCCCCCGCCTCTCTTTTTGGGGGGGTCTTCCTCGCGGGGGGGAAGTTGTTTGGATCTCTGCCTAGGGGGAGGGATTTTTTGGTTGTGTATATGTAGGTAATGCAGCTATCTGACATCTTATTGTATTTCATTGTGTCTCATAATTAGTCTGTGTGGGCACCCTATGGGTGCTTTTCTCTGTTGGTGTATGCTCCCGCTTCTCTGGAGACTTTTTAGGATTCCGGAGGGGCTGGAACATGTGCCCCAATTAAGCCTGGCTATAGGTAAGACCAGGCACCAGATACACAGGTTCTGTGTGTCCTTCTTTGTTTTAAACTTATTCTTTTTTTCTATTTCTTGTTTGTTGTCCAGTTCTAAATCTTTACTATTTCCCTTGGGAGGGGGAACAGGAGAGGGCAGTTATGCCGCTGAACTCTGTCTGGTTGGTCCGGAGCCGGGCTCCCATGGTACCGAGATGAGATATGTGGTGCAATCTCCTTACTGGCCCAGTAGTGGGCTGCTAGGAGGCATTGGCTTGCCCTCCTTTCGGAAACTATGCCTTTAAAAGTATTATCATTGAATGTTAAGGGCCTGAACGCTCCGAGTAAACGCCGCCTCATGTTCAGGGATCTCAAACGCATAAGCCCAGATATTGCCTTCTTGCAGGAGACGCACCTATCCGCATCGGCTAAATTCGCCCTGAAGGATCACACTTTCAGGACAGTCCATGAAGCTAGGGCTTTAAATAAACGGAATGGAGTTGCTATCGTTATACACCATAGATGCCCGCTGAGGGTGGAAAACGTGGTAGCCGACCCGAGTGGCCGTTTCGTGCTGGTTTCGGGGAGATTGCACTCTCATGCAGTGCATTTCCTCAATGTCTATGCCCCAAACGACCCCTCTGTTGCTTTTTGGGACGGAATAACGCAGATGGTGAACACTCTGCCACACGGAATGACGGTGGTGGGGGGGGACCTGAACGCCACCCCGTGTCCTGCGGTTGACAGGGGTCCTGGCGACAGGTTGCCGTGGTCCCACGGGAGAGGTAGTCAAGATTAAATACTACGCACTTTTCTGCATCGTACAGGCCTGGTCGATATCTGGAGAGCTCATCATCCAGACGACCGTGATTACACTTTTTATTCAGCACCTCACGATACGTATTCGAGGATAGACTTATTTCTGGTGAATCCCCACACGGTCCCAAAGGTGTCGAAAACTTCAGTAGGTTCGATCACTTGGTCGGACCATGCTGACATCACGATGACTCTGGATAAATTAAGTATGGCATCTCCGTGGACCTGGAGACTGAACACCTCTCTGCTTCAGGATCCAGCCGTGGTGGAGATCACACGTAAGGAACTGACTGAGTACTTCACAAGGAATGCGGACTCTGGTCCCCGGCCTGCCACGGTGTGGGCCGCACACAAGACGGTTATCCGGGGTATATTGATCCGCGAAGCCACGCTTAAGAAGAAACGTAAGACACAATTACTAACATCTCTCCTGGAAGCCCTGGGGAAAGTGGAAGAAAAACACAAGGCGGCCTCGTCGCCTACCACATTGCAGGAAGTAAGGAAATTGCGGGCTTCGGTCCGCGAAACGCTCCTCGACGAGACTGCTAGAGCTTTAGTCTGGTCCAAGAGGACTTACTATGAAAAATCCAACAAAATGGATACCTTGTTGGCCAGATCTCTTCGCCCGAGACAGAGTCACTCCCATATTACAAGAATCAAAGACGCTACGGGTAAGTATTGCACAGACCCTTCCGCTATTGCTAAGGTTTTTACAGATTACTATACCAAATTATATAATCATTCCAGTGGGGCTACAAGCACCCAGAGGAGTGACACGGACAATTCGCAGGCATTTTTATCTCAATTGAAGCTACCTATGTTGTGGGGAGAAGACTCAGCTGCCCTTGGAGAAAGGATTACGGTCGAAGAGATCGATGCTGCAATATCCGCTTTAAAGGGTAACAAAGCTCCGGGCCCGGATGGCTTCGACGGCAGCTATTATAAGATATTTTGAGAGGAACTTATACCCCACATGGAAAAGTGGTTTAACGACCTAATGGAGGGAGGAACGCCAGATAGGGATATGTCAATAGCGGATATTGTGCTGTTACCGAAACCTGGCAAGGATGATTCTGTCCCCGAAAACTTTCGCCCGATTTCTTTGATAAACCATGACTCCAAAATCCTTGCCAAAATATTGGCACACAGACTGAACCCCTTGTTAACACGATTGATACACCCTGACCAAGTGGGCTTTGTGCCTGGCAGGCAGCTATTTGAAAATACTAGACGCAACATTGATCTTATCTGGCGGCAGGCAACTAGGGGGATTCCGACGTTGATATTGTCACTCGACGCGGAGAAAGCTTTCGATAGGGTAAAGTGGCCTTATCTTTTCGAGACTCTCCAACAGTTTGGTATCCCTGAACCCTTTATAACTACGATACAAGCAATGTACACTGACGTTCGGGCTCGAGTCCGGATTTCGGGCGCGAAGATGGAACCTTTCAATTTGGGGAATGGGACTAGGCAGGGCTGCCCGCTGTCACCTCTATTGTTCGCTCTCTCTTTGGAACCCCTCCTACAAACAATTAGAAATAGCTCCGACATCAAGGGGATCGTGATTCGGGAGCAGCGATATGTGGTGTCTGGCTTTGCTGACGATGTCTTGCTAACCCTGACGGATCCGATAAATTCTATGGAGGCATTGGCGACAGTGTTGGAGGCCTACAGCGAATTGGCCGGGTATAGGGTGAACTTAACTAAGTCAAGCGCACTTCCCATAAGCATGAGCGACACGGATATCGCCCACATCGGAGACACCTATAGGATACATATAGCAAACGATCATATAAAGTATTTGGGGGTTCGGCTGACAGCGGACCCTTCCCAATTATTTCAGCAAAATTATGTTCCTATGATCCGCACCTTGATAGGAGACATGGAGAAATGGATAGATAAGCCGATCTCCTGGATTGGTAGGATTCACTCTGTGAAAATGAATATTCTCCCTAGGATTCTGTTTCTATTTCAAGCTCTCCCGGTCCGGCTGTCCAAGTCAGATCTAGGGACGCTCCAGCAGGCCATTGGGAAATTCATTTGGCAGAACAGGAAACATAGAGTTTCGCGTAACGTTCTTTACAGGTCAAAAGCGAGGGGGGGCTTAGGTCTACCAAACCTCTATTTCTATTATTTAGCGTCCCAATTAACTCAAATAGCACTATGGCATGCTCCCCCGGAAGAGAGGCGGTGGGTCGACCTGGAGGCCACCCTTCTGGGTTCCGACGTCCCTCAATTCTTTATGTGGGTCCCTAGGGACCACAGACCATTGATACGCGTCGATTGCCCAGCTATCGCTAACTCTTTGAAAATCTGGGACGCAACATCAACCAAATATGGTTTATCCCCCCATCTGTCCCCATTGGCCCCTTATCTGAGGAATCGAGCGTTCCCTCCGGGATTGGAAGCCAGAAACTTTAAGGGCATAGAGAGCACAGGGGTACAACGACTATGTCATCTTTATGAGGGGGGTGCTTTTATATCCTTCGATGATTTGAAGTCCAGAGCTACTCTACGTCCCTCCGATTTTTTTCGATACCTGCAGTTAAGGGACTTCGCCCATAACCCACAGATTAAAACTAGCGCCTTGACTCCACTCACCTTTTTTGAAAGAATGTGCATTCAAGAACAATTTCCGAAAGGCCTCATCACTAACTTATACGCGCACCTCAGTACGACCACATCTGAATGGGGGGAGCTTCATTATACGTCTCAATGGGAAATGGATTTGAATGAGGAACTGGAGGGTGTTGAGTGGCAAGAGATCTGGGAGGCAGCGGCGACCTCGTCTATTTGTGTCACATTTCAAGAACAAGCCTATAAGACTATGTTCCGGTGGTACGCTACCCCGGCGAAGCTTTACCGGATGAATAAAATTAATACAGATTTATGCTGGAGAGGATGTGGCCAGAAAGGGACGTATATACATATGTGGTGGGTCTGTCCAGAGGCACAAAAATTCTGGAAACGGGTCGCGGATTTACTGGGAAATATCTTTGATAGGGTGATCAAACCAGACCCCTGGGTTTTCCTCCTGGCCAGATCGCTGGAGAACTGGTCCAGATCGGAACAAAATTTACTACATAAGGTGACCCTGGCTGCCAGAAGGGCCATGGCCCAAGTGTGGCTACAGGGAGAGACCCCCCCTATGGAGGTGGTGATACAAAAGATTAAGGATACATACATAATGGACGAGTTAACAGCTAGGGTCCAGGGCACTAAGAAGAAAATGGAAAAGATTTGGAGCCCGTGGGAGGCTAGTGGGGTGGGTGATTAGGGGAGTGGGGGACGGGCTCGTTCCCTGCGTACCCCGAAACACCTCTATTGATGACAGGATGCATAGCACACTTTTACTCCCCCTTCCGAAGCGGGACCCTCAGGATCCCACGAGATGTTCACGGTTATAGTTTTTCGCACTGGCATGGCGGTACTTGCTAAAAACATCCCGGCTCGTGGCTATCCAGCTATCTGATCGTATCGGCATCATTACCATTCTGGGAAAATCACTATAATACCCCCTCCCAATCCTACTCCCAATCCTACTCTCTCTTCTTTTTTCTCTTCTATCCTTTTGATACTCCTCTTTCGGTTAACCTTTTCTTTTCTTTATTTATCTTTATATTGTTTTTTCCCATCTATCTGGTTACTGCCCAGTTACCATATGGCTCACTGAAGCTATATTTGGAGAGGCGGGTCGAGGGGTGTTTATTGGTAGGCTATTATTAAAATATCTTCGCATAAATGTCATCCCTGTACACTGAGTTTTAGTTCATTGACCTAGCCAAATTCTTACTGCATTTTAGGGGTAGCTATGGATGGATAGCGTGAAATATCATCGTGTAGTTCACTATCAGATGGGAATTTATTGTCTTACTTAAAATAAAATGGGTGGGATACCGCAGTAAGCAAACTCGTAAAGACGACATTCATATGTTAGATATGCTGTTTGTGATTGGTAATCAGACTTTGCAATATTGTTTGTTTTTTACAAGTAATGTGTATTGTTTTGGTGATTGCGATGTTGTTCTTTATTGCATCATGTTGCATATACTGTTGTGGTGTCTGATCATTTCATAAATAAAGAATTAAAAAAAAAAAAGAATTAATAATGATAACTTGCTAATCTATAAAAATACTAGCATGGTATGCTGTTACAGTCACAACAGTAGAGATTCTTGATTCTTCAAGTTTTCTTAATAGAGATGGGTATCCTCATAAAAATATAAGAGACAAAATAAAAGTATATAGTGTAGTATGTTGAGCTAATAAGCAGGGATAAGTATGTAGATAGGTGTGCACTCACATATTATGGAGCCTAAGCATTGGCTCCAGAAGTAATGCGAGAAGTGGTATGATCCCTACTCTAGGATATAGATGATATGGATATTCCACTGTAAATATATAATAAAGAGAAATAAAAAAAATCACAATAGTGCACACCATTAAATTAAAGCGTAAAGTACAGTAAAGTACTTTTTTATTACTTTTACTGTGCTTTACATTCTAATTTAAAAATGCAACAGTCAAAATGAGTCTTTCATAAAGACTCGGTCTTTATGAAATATTCATTTTTATTGGGGGCAGGGAGGACGTGACAATGCTGCTTTAATTTACTAAAATGCAGAGTTTAGTGGATAACCCTGAAATGTGTAGCTACCCCATATACTGGACTGAAGCAAATTATGGAAATTCCATACCTTGATCAAATGTGAGTTTTGCTTGGCTGGTGGCAACGCACTCCTATTTTTATAACGTAAGATAAAGACAGCCTATAAAGGTGTAGATAGGTTTCTAAGTTTATTCTTTGCTTTCTTTCCTTAGTTATTTCACTGGAAGAATAAGTTTGATTACCAATCTAATTTATTTAGCTAAAATAGGTAATATTTTAAATAATTTTGCACCACCTCTGATTATACTTTTCTTGTGCAATGCCTGTTTCATCAAGACTCAAGAATTTTTCAGCACTGAAATATTAAAGTGAAATCATGGCATTCATCCTTCTTTTGCTTAAAACTTCATAATTAAAATGTAATCTGATCTAATTGTTACGAGTCTCTTTTATTGTGTAAGTAGGCAATATGTTCTGACTTCAATTGACAGGAAACGTTGATGGGAAAAAGATATTCAAAATCCAATTTAACTATTGCAAACAATCTGACACATCAAAGGAATGAGTAGGCAAATTGTCTTTCAAAAAATCTGAATAAATGAGACCTTGTCACATATGGAAAAGCAATTTCGGTGCAAGCTTGGCATGTTAAGTTATTTTTTACCCCGTCACATTGATAAATTGTGAAGGCAAGCGTAATTCTCAATTCTATTCCAAATTATTATTGAGGAGCAGTGTCGTTCAGATGACGATTCAGTGGATATTGTTGAGTAAGCATTCTTATTTCAAATAATATTTAAACAAATATCTTGTTCTGTCCCTTATTTTCTTATGAAAATAGATATCACCTGATTTTACTTCCAATTGTTTCAAATGAATCTGATCTCCTTTACAGTAACATTGTATTGCATTTAATCTATTTATAAAAATCAATATTTGACTACTGATTTTTCTATTTAAGAACAGTTTGATGCAGGGCACTGGTCAAATATGTTGTATCACAAACAAGGTGGCCAGCAGATTAGTGTGATTCGGAAAACAAAGGTTGTAAAAAATAAATATATACTCACTAAACCAATGTATTTCTCTATATATTGATGGTCCTCAGTTGGGATCATCAATTATTTCTGTATGTGGCACATGATATTAACCCAGACACAAAATATAAGATTAAATTTAATTTTATCAAAGGGTCACTCTAAGCACTATAACCACTTCATCTTACAGACATGGCTGTGATTAAGACTTTCTTTATAAAAATGTTTCTTTCTGGAGATATATATGGGGAAGAGCTGCAGTGATAGTGTTGTTGGCAAGGAGAGGCCCCACATTAGCAGAATAAGTTTTCCATATTCGATACATAGGTACACTATAGACTGATAGAAAGCGTTACACACGGATGAGTGCTTAATCATGAAATTCTATATTCTGTATTCTCAGACATAAAAAATAAACTTGTGAATGGTGATAAAATAAAGTTTGGTTAAATATATCTTTCTTAAAATTTTTTAATTTTTGGGATAGCCAAATTTAGGCCATGTGATAGTTAGGCTTAGCAGAATTTTGGTAACAAAAACGCAATTTAAAAAAATCAAACCAGATGACCCAAAAATGCACGAAAATGGTCCAATCAGTGAACTACAAAATATGTATATGATATATAATATTATGCATATATTTAGCAATAGACTCTAGACCAATAGTGATGTCCCGAACGGTTCGCCGAACGGTTCGCCACGGATGGCGAACATATGCGCTGTTCGGTCCGCCCCCCTATGTCATCATTGAGTAAACTTTGACCCTGTACCTCACAGTCAGTAGACACATTCCAGCCAATCAGCAGCAGACCCTCCCTCCCAGACCCTTCCACCTCCTGGACAGCATCCATTTTACATTCATTGTGAAGCTGCATTCTTAGTGAGCTGTCCAGGAGGTGGGAGGGTCTGGGTGGAATGTGTCTGCTGACTGTGAGGTACAGGGTCAAAGTTTACTCAATGATGACGAATAGGGGGCGGACCGAAAAGCGCATATGTTCGCCATCCGTGGCGAACCGTTCGGCGAACCGTTCAGGACATCACTATAGACCAATGGTTCCCAACACAGCTACCAGTCCAGGATTTAGGGATTACCCAGTTGTGTCAAGATGTTTAGTTTTCTTTTTCGAAAAACACCTTAGACACAACTGGGTAATCCCTAAATCCTGGACTGGTAGGCGGACTGGTAGGCGTGCATTGAGGATGGATTTGGAAACCACTGCTGTAGACACTTAGTAATTTTGCATGTGTCATTGTATATAAGTATGTTGGAGATGTAACAAAGCATTTTTTTCATTTTGCAATTAATCATGGACATCATATCACTTTCCTATTAATACAGTGATTCAGGAAAACTGGTGGAACTGGTGGAAGTTCTTGGGTAAAAAGTACATTTTCAAGGGACGCATACACACTAACGTGGACATAGAAAGTTGTATTGATTCCTGAAGGAATTTACATGGAACTTGTGTCCATTGTCCAATTCTGGTTCTTTGGTTCCACAAGCCACCATTTTTGGATGGTTTTGGGGTAAAATAGTTTTCAGCTATCTGAATCCTGGACTGCTTCCATCAATAAAAGATCTTTATCCAATCACATGGAAACTCTTTATTATTTAATCCCACTCTTTTAAAATGTTAAAATGTTTAATCTGTTTCAATTAATATTATTTATTGTATAGGATAATTTTCTGAGATACATAATATTCTAGGAGTCTGTTTATAATTTGCCCTGTTTTTGTTTAATTATTTAATTATTACTTTATTGTATTTTTTAATTATTTAAAGTTTAATTATTTGCACTATAACAGTCTGAGAATTGTGGGCTTTTATCTAGGTGACACAGGACATTTCAACCTTATGCCATTGCTCTAGAAATATCAAGTCCATTTATGAACTTTACAACAGGAAATGATTATTAGAAACATAAAGTGGACTCTTTGCTAAGCACTTAAAGGGACACTGTAGGCACACAGACCACTTCAGCTAATTGAAGTGGTCTGGGTGCTATGTCCCTTTTGCACCTAGTGCTGCAGTGTAACACATTGAAGTTCCAGAGAACTAGAATGTTTACATTGCAGCTCTAAGTCTGCCCACAGTGTCTGTTAACCAGACAGCCACTGGGGGTGCTTACGGAATCCGTTATCTGACTATCTGCATGAGGACCTCCAGTGTCAGATTTTCCCCATAGTAAAGCATTGATTCAATGCTTTCCTAAGGGGAGATATATTGTGCACGCGGAATTTGCTGCACATGTGTATTAGACCCCGCTCGTCGGGGGAAATAGGAGGGGGCGGAGCTTCGATGCAGCCCAAGGGACATCAGCGATGGGATAAGGTTAGTAAATAAAGGTTTTTTAACACTTTATTTACTGAGTAGGAGGGGGCACGAGGGAGGGGGGAGGTGGGAGGCAGAGGGATCCGTAGTGCCAGGAATGAAGCTTTGTAATACTATACAGTCAATGCCCATTTGTCTACAAAGCATTAACCTTAAAATATCAAATATCTGCTTGTGTCACACCAAAACCTTCTTTTTCATATAGTTTTACGCCTGTAATTAAGGAAAACAATACATATTATAATTTTTTCCAATTATATTAAATTGGGAGAACAGGTGAAAGTAGTTTGTAACTAATCCTTGAAATTAATGGAAGGTTATCAAAAATCTCACTCGCCTCTTCCTGTCAAAGAACTATTGAACAAAGCATTACACCATGTGTCATAAAATGACATTACATTCTGAATAAGGTTCCGATAGATCACAAGTGAAAAGTTGTTTTCATTATATCAGCTTTTCCTAATTCAGCAGGACATGTCAATGATAATGTAGGCGTCAAGCTTGAGACTATTTGAAATTATTTCTTACAGAAAAGAAAAATTGAAAAGAAAAAAAAAGTAGATTAACTGATTTTTTGTTTGCCATTATTATCTACTTTTATTAAGCAAATCAGGATCCTCCATTTGTGACAAAAGGTAGTTATTTATTAATTCATTTTGTACAATTTTAATGGTAAACAATCAATTATAAAAGCTTAAATAATAACAACTAAATTAAACCATTAAACATTTACGAT